TCCGGTGCAGGCAGGTGTGGGCAAATGCAGTACATTTACGACCTGCATTTGGGGTATCATTAAAGCGGAGCTCCACCCAAAAGGGGAAGTTCCACTTTAACCGCTTGGCACCGGCCGAACGCAAATGTGCGGGCCTCCCGGCGTCTGGGCCGAGCGGCCGCACATTTGCGTTCTATTAGAAAAAATATGTGCTGGGAGCGCGCTCTCAGCACACATGTCCGGTACTCACGGAAAGGTCCCAATCTCCTCTTTCGATCGGGACCTTTCCCGATCATGTGACCAACGTGACAGCGTGTCACAGCGGTCACATGACCCTAAACCCCGCCCCGCCCCCCGGCTTCTGAAACCCTTAGGTATCCAGAGTTCCCCTTAAGGTATAGATGGGTGCAGCTCTCTGGGTGTAATGGAGGCTCCCTCTCTGGTGGTCAGGTGGTAGGTAGCTGTAAGTTGATACTGCACCCCTGATCCTGTATAGGGAAGGTACTTTTTTTTTTTTTTCACTTCTTGGCAGTACCTTGTCTGTACAGGATCAGGGGTGCAGTATCAACTTACAGCTACCTACCACCTGACCACCAGAGAGGGAGCCTCCATTACACCCAGAGAGCTGCACCCATCTATACCTTAACCTCCCTGGCGGTATGATTATTTCAGATTTTTGGTGCTGAAAGCGGTACATTATTTTGCATGGAAATATGTATTTTTTTTATTGTAGGCTGTAATGTTTAGGAATAACTCACTGAAATCTGTCCGAACAAGAGTCTAGTAAACATCCCGGGTAGGATAAAATTTGAAACACGAAATCATAAATTATAATTTAATAAATAATCATAAAAAATAATAATATAATAATAATACATTTACATCAATAATATAATCAAACCAAAAACACTGAAATGTGAAATATAGCGCCAAGTTCGCACATCGCTGAGCAAAGTCGCAGAATCGTTTTCAGTGTCTGATGAGGAATTTCCCCCACGAATCATTATCACTCAATTCTGCAAGTGGTTCTGATTTACTATCGCTGTTCTCTAGCCGGTCTAAAACCGCTTTTGACCTAAAGGGACGCTTTTTGGACGCCATGGACGTTTCTCAGTTTCCAGGCAGAAAGAACATTCAAAATGCAGGCAGGGCGCCGGACAAAGCACTCGGGACAAAATGTATGTGAAATGGGTTGAAACAGCAATGTTTTACTATGTAAAATTTTGAAAAAAAGACATTTTTTAAAATTTTCAAATTTCCCACCGGCGGCGGCGGCGGCCGTACGTCCCGACGTCACAGGGACCGGAACACAGAAGCCGGATGCCGGCATCGGCCGGAGGAGATGGCCGGGGACACATCACGGGAGCGAAGGACAAGGTAAGCTCTGCAGGGACTCCCTGAGCAACGCCGCATGGTAAGCCTGAGTGTAGTTCGGGGTTACCGCTTCTGGTACTGACATTTTACCCCGAGCTACACTCGGGAATACCGCCAGGGAGGTTAAGGGGAACTCTGGATACCCCTGATGTCCCACCATTGAGTCCCAGGACCACAAGAGGGAGTCTACTGGATTCCTGCCTTACTCTGAGATGACCATTAGATGACATCAGGATATAATATACAAACGCTCCATAATTTGCGCGTTCTGGTGAGTGCGCATTCCTTACACACCTGTATGCACATCATTCGTCTTCAGGAAGTCATAGGAATATCTGAGCACTATAAAGTCACCTATGAACTGTTTATGTGCCATTTTGATATTATATCTGTAATTTATATATTTTCTTTATTATTTATAAGCATTCATACATATCGTATTGATTTTATTAGTTAGCGCTGCACATTTATTTTATACTGTCTTTTAGAGGGTTTTTTTTTGGTTTCCTTGTGCATAGCTGCTTTCGTCCTCTCTGTGCGCTCACATTTATTCGCTTTATACATGGTTAAAAAACAGTGTTACTTTGTATTTCTCTATCTCCCGTCTGATCAATGTTTATAAACAATGTTACTTTGTATCTCTATCTCACGTCTGATCAATGTTTTTAAACACAATGTTACTTTGTATTTCTCTATCTCCCGTCTGATCAATGTTTATAAACAATGTTACTTTGTATTTCTCTATCTCCCGTCTGATCAGTGTTTTTAAACAATGTTACTTTGTATTTCTCTATCTCCCGTCTGATCAGTGTTTATAAACAATGTTACTTTGTATCTCTATCTCACGTCTGATCAATGTTTATAAACAATGTTACTTTGTATCTCTATCTCACGTCCCAATGTTTATAAACAATGTTCTTTGTATCTCTATCTCCCGTCATCTTGTTTATCCCTTGCCCTCCAGAGGATTGCCCCCCCCCCCCCCCTTCCTGACCAGGCCATTTTTTGGGATATGGTGCTGCGTTACTTTAAATGACAAATGCACAGTTGTGCAATGTTTATAAACAATGTTACTTTGTATCTCTATCTCCCATCTGATCAATGTTTATAAACAATGTTACTTTGTATCTCTATCTCCCGTCTGATCAATGTTTATAAACAATGTTACTTTGTATCTCTCTATTTCCCATCTGATCAATGTTTATAAACAATGTTACTTTGCATCTCTATCTCCCATCTGATCAATGTTTATCCACTTGCCCTCCAGAGGATTGCCCCCCCCCCTTCCTGACCAGGCCATTTTTTGGGATATGGTGCTGCGTTACTTTAAATGACAATTGCACAGTCGTGCAATGTTTATAAAACAATGTTACTTTTGTATCTATGTCTCCTGTGTGATCAATGTTTATAAACAATGTTACTTTTGTATCTATATCTCCTGTGTGATCAATGTTTATAAACAATGTTACTTTGAATCTCTATCTCCTGTCTGATCAACGTTTATTAATAAAATTAATTTGTGTCTCTCTATATCCATCTGCCATTTCTGCCAGCAGATGTATTTACACAGCAACAATTTTCTTTCATTATAACCCCTACTGCTGCCTCCTGGTGGCCCTTTCAGTGTTCAGGAGGCAGCACAGTAAGTCAGAACTCCGCCTCATTTCTTGGCTGGAGGACGTCCATCATCATCTAGTCTTTTCTTCCCTATACTGACTGTCCTCGACCTGCCCTTTTAATGCACTAGATTTCAGCCTTTTCAATCATGGAGGCTCAGTATCACATGCGGGTGTTACCTAGCGGGGTCTGTATGCAGATACAGTCTGCCTAGCAACGCTCACTCCTCCAATTGACACCCACCCATCCCGGCATTTTGATGTTTGCGTAACCCCTGCCACTGCTTACATCAGGGCTGAAGGCTCTTGAGAGGAGAACTGAGGCAGGGTGCTGTGATGTTTTCAGGAATGTGCAACACCCTCCCAGTAGCCATTATCTGCCTGCATTGTGTAAAGGAGCACAGAGACCAAGTGATAGCCTCACTGGTTCTTAAGCGTGGTATGAAATGAAAACCGATTTTGTGTAAATATTTCCTTGGGATGTGGATAAGGGGGGAGGGGGGAACCGGGGAAGGCAAAGTCTAAGCAGATTAAACTTCAGCTAGTTGACAGCTGTAGCCTAAGACTATTAATAAGGATGTCACTCAGGGCTGTGATTGGATTGTGACAATGTCAGCCCTCCGGCCCCATCCTCCGGGTACAAACATACAACCAAGGCCAGATCATAGTCCAGCAGGTGGAAGGGGTTTGCTTTTCTGAATCTCTGGGGGCTCAGACACTGGAAGATGTGTTCAGTGCTGTGAGATCATCAGACGGTTTCCTGCACCGCGCCAAGCATCTGGTCAGGGCTGGAATATCGCAGAAGGTGGATTTCAATCATGGAAGCTCAGCATCACATGTGGGTATTACCTAGGGTGGTCTACATGCAAATACAACCTCCCCATGAACATCCACTCCTCCAGACTGACACCCACCCATCCAGACTGACACCCACCTACCCACCCATGTGATATTTGCAGTACTCCTCCCAAGAGCCAGCCCACTGCTTGCATTAGGGCTGAGGGCTTGTGAGAGGAGTACCGAGGCAAGGTGCTGTGATGTTTTTAGGAAACTATGTACAGCACCCGCCTAGCCCCTCCCACTAGCCATGACTGCTTGCATTGCATAGACAAGGACTGAGACCCAGTGATGATGTGCATGGGTCTAAAAAAAGGTATGTGATAAAAATGGAAATGGTTGCTTGATGACTCAGGAAGGAAAAAAAGTTGATTAACCCCTTGGCGCTGGTGCCTCCCGACCCTTCAAGGGTTTCAGAAGCTAGGAGGCGGGGCGGGCTTTTAGGGTCATGTGACCGCCATGATTCGCTGTCACGATCGAAAGAGGAGATCGGGACCTTTTCCGTGAGTACCAGACGCGTGCTGGGAGTGCGCAGGGCGCGTGCTCTCAGCACACGTGTTTTTCTTAATTATTTTTTATTATTATTTCAGGTACTTACATAGCGCCGTCAATTTACGTATATATTGTACATTCACATCAGACCCTAACCCTCAAGGGGCGTACAATCTAAGGTCCCTAACTCACATTCATACATACTAGGGACAATTTAGACAGGAGCCAATTCACCTACCAGCATGTCTTTAGAGTGTGGGAGGAAACCGGAGTACCCAGAGGAAACCCACGCAGGGACAGGGAGAACACGCAAACTCCAGGCAGGTGGTGCCGTGGTTGGGATTCGAACCAACGACCCCAGTACTGCCAGGTGGAAGTGCTAACCAGTTTGCACGCAAGTGTGTGCGGCCGCTCGGCGTCAAGGCCCAGAGGCCGCACATTTGTGTCTGGCCGGCGCAAAGAGGTTAAACGTCAGCATTAATACACAGTGCTAGGATCATATGGATTATATCTAGAAACTATAACTACAGCTTCCCCTTCAAGAGAGAGATATTTATATGTAATCCGCTACTATGACCAATGAAGAGCTTTGTGTGGAGTTCTGTTTCAACTTCCCAATAGGACATTTCTTCATCTCTTCCTATAAATTGTTTCTGTGTTCCGCAGGGCTGAAGAAACCATGCACTTGTGAGCTGTCCCATCATGGAGGTCAGGGAGGGGCCCCCGTGTGAGGAGAGGCTTCCGACTCCAGGAGCCGAGGACCACCCAACTGGCCACCTAGAGCTGCAGGGCGAAGGTGGCACTGAGATGAAGAAGCCGGCTGAAAACCTCAGCGATGGAAAGAAGGACGAGGGCGAGCTAGAGGAAGAGCTGGATCCCCGGATACAGGTATTATATTTATATTCTAAAAGCGGTATTAAACCCAAAGCTATAAATGTAATCTATTGCAGCTTATCAATCAGATGTGGTGGCTGCATTTTTTTTTTTTTTTTAGGCTTTTTTCCCCTCTCTTTTCACCTGGTGATCTGGTCAGTAACACCTCCTGTATTAGAGTGCCTCCACTCTGGATGAAGGGCCAGTTCACACTGCATGTGTGTAACGGAACCGACCCAGTCTGCGCTTGGGTACTTCCGTTATAATACCGCTTCCCCGTACGAACACCGACCACAGACCCCACAGCCGACCATACAAGACTAGATAACACCGGTCTGTCTGAACATGGAACTCTTTATTTGAAACTCGAACTCAGGGAACAGTCCCCCCCCCCCATAATGATGCAGGGCGGGGCAATCTATACTTAGCAACAAGAGACACACAGGTATTCAAACATCCCACCAGCAGACAGTCCCATCAGTAGGGAGGGCTGCTGGAGACACCCCCCACCAAGCCAATACACATAAACAAGACAAGACCAGTCTTTAAATAAATCAGGAAATAGACTCTTTTGTTTTAACACAGATGCAAGATATATATATTCAAGGGAACAATTCCCCCCTCCCTGCATATTGACACAGGGCGGGGCAAACCACATCTAGCAACAAGAGACACATCAACAGACACCCCCCACCAAGCCAATATACAAACACATACATCCCATAATAGTTTGCTCCCAAGCAAGACACACAATAGAACAATGGGATGCAACCACATGGCATTAAACAGTCAACAACCCCCACCCCAATATTAGGACAGATCACCCTGTACCCCTAACGGGCACAGGGTGACTTACACATAAGAGGGATATGGGGAGCTAAGACGGGTCCCCCCACCTCTCCAAAGTGAGCTGCGTTCCATGGGCCCCCCCCACCCAAAGTGACTCCCGTCACAATGTGTTTCAGTTGCTTTTTTTTCTGCATCCGAAACGCACAGAAAGTAGGTGATATGGCTGTCAATGTCATAGTTCACATCAGTGCTTGCAGTTCCAGTGCGTTCCGGTTGCTGAAAAGAAAAAGTAGAACAGGCTGCATTTTTCCTGCACAGAACTGTACTGGAACGTGGAAAAACGCATCAAAAATCGCACTGCAATGCACCAAAAATGCGCTGGAATGCACACGTCCCTATTTAAACTGAAGTAAAAAGAGAGGGGAAAAATGAACCGGAAAGCATCAAAAATGCATCAGAACGTGTCAGAAACGTTTGAACACGTCAGAAATGTGCATGTGGAAACATATGGACTGCGTTTCTATGGTGTGAACCGGCCTGAAGGAACACTTTTAGGGCGGTTCACACCATATTTTTGATGCGTTCCAGTTCATTTTTTCCCCTTTTTTTCTTCAACCTAAATAAGGACATGTGTGTTCCTGTGTGTTTTTGGTGTGTTTTTGATGCATTTTACTGCGTTCCAGTACAGTTCAGTGCAGAAAAAAAATGCAGCTTTTTTCTGTAACTGGAACGCACTGGAGTGAACTATGACATTAGGAACCATGTTAGCTAATATCAATGCCTTTTAATGCAGAAAAAAAAAAACGCACTGGACTGCATGTGCTGTGAACTGGCTCTTAGACAGCAGCATTGTCAGGGGGGGATGGGAGTGTCAAATGTATTAGCAGGTTTAAATACACTAACAAACTGAAACCAAACTCTAGCTAATACTTTCTAAGCTGTTACAGCAAAACGTTTTTTTTTTCCTTTTGGGATAAAGGTTTTATATGAATAAATAAAAGCTGATCGTTGTAAGCACCCCTATCAGTGGTTAATGGTTTGCCTCATCCCTGGAACTGCTACATCTGCAGGAGAGCTTGTTCTGTTGTAAAACAACAGACTTACCGGCCAGATCACCAGATGAAAATAGAAGGAAAGCCTAAAAAAAATAAAATGAATGCAACCATAACGGTAATACTGCTTTAAGCTGGCCGCACAGTTGTTTTTTTGTTTTCATTCAGCCAAATATTGTATTCTGAAAGCAACACCTGCCACTGGAAACTGCAGCTGCTGATCAATGGTAAATTTGTAAATGATCAACTTCTGTTCAGGAGGGATGGCCACACACTGAATAAAGTTTGGGCAGTTCCTGTTGAATCGTGAATTTCTATCTATGTTTGGCCAGCTTTACTCAGAGAGTGAATAGAGGAGTTCAGCTGGCTAGTATATATTGAGCCAGGGGCTTCCCTAGGGTTGGTGTCACCCGGTGCGGTAACACTTGGTGACACCCCCCTCCGACGATCCCCGCAGGATGGATCGGATCTTCAGATTAAGCATAATGGATCAGACTCCAATCCATTATGCTCCCCAATCTGCAGATCCGATCCATCCTGTGGGAATTGTCTGCATGCAACCTATACGGGGTGACACCGGTCCCGCTCCACAAAAAGGTAAGTTGTAAAGAAAGCCGACGACCCCCACAGGATGGATGGAATCTGCGGATTGGGGAGCATAATGGACCGGACTCCGATCCATTATGCTCAGTCCTCAGATCCAAACCATCCTGCGGGGATCATCGGCATGCAACCTATACGGGGTGACACCGAACCCGCTCCAAGAAAAGGTAAGTTGTAAAGAAAGCCGACAATCCCCACGGGATGGTTTGGATCTGAGGACTGAGCATAATGGATCGGAGTCCGGTCCATTATGCTCCCCAATCCGCAGATTCCATCCATCCCGCGGGGATCGTCAGCTTGCTTTACAACTTACCTTTTTGTGGAGCAGGTCCGGTGTGTCACCCCCTGCGGTAGGTGTCACCCGGTGCGGCATGCACCCCCCCGCACCTGCCTTGGGACACCACTGTATTGAGCAATCTCCTATTCCTGCCGGTCAAAGCTGATCTCCAGGATAATGTTACCCCCCCTATCCTTCCCCAGCAATAAAGGAAAGCCTTCCCCAAATATTCTTGTTTCTTATCTAAAGCCACATGCCACTCCAGTCCTGGGCCTTCTCACTTCTTCGGTTTATAAATGGTAGGGTCCTTCATCGAGTCGGGTGTTCTTGTCACTGCACAAAAAAAAAAAAAAAAAAAAAATGTACACTGTCCAACAATTTGCAGAACATTTGCAATCTATGTGGAACTGGCACTGCCTTGTCCAGGCTCCTCTGTAAAGCGTTGTCCTAATTCCATGTTGGAGCATATATAGCAATGGATACATTGAGGTCAGGTATGCTTGGAGACAGCCCATTCCTCCCTGAAGTGCTAGGACACAGTAGAAGCCCAGCAAAGCACAAAGAAGAAGATGTCCAGTGTACCCCCACACCAATCCCAAAAAAATATACAAAGATGGCAATCACTCCAATGGATACCTCTCTTTTAAAGTATTACTAAACCCCCATCAGTACAATCAGTCTGTATAACATGCTTGTTATACTCACTGTGGAAGCTAAGGGGTTAATCCTCTGCATTGTGTAAAAATGCAGGGTCCGGGGAGACCAGATATAGTGAATGCAGGGTCCGGGGGAGACCAGATATAGTGAGTGCAGGGTCCGGGGAGAGCAGATATAGTGAATGCAGGGTCCGGGAGAGACCGGATATAGTGAATGCAGGGTCCGGGGAGACCAGATATAGTGAATGCAGGGTCCGGGGAGACCAGATATAGTGAGTGCAGGGTCCGGGGAGACCAGATATAGTGAGTGCAGGGTCCGGGGGAGACCAGATATAGTGAATGCAGGGTCCGGGGAGACCGGATATAGTGAATGCAGGGTCCGGGGAGACCCAGATATAGTGAATGCAGGGTCCGGGGAGACCAGATATAGTGAGTGCAGGGTCCAGGGAGAGCGGATATAGTGAATGCAGGGTCCAGGGAGAGCGGATATAGTGAATGCAGGGTCAGGGGGAGAGCGGATATAGTGAATGCAGGGTCCGGGGGAGAGCGGATATAGTGAATGCAGGGTCCGGGGAGACCGGATATAGTGAATGCAGGGTCCGGGGAGACCGGATATAGTGAATGCAGGGTCTGGGAGAGCGGATATAGTGAATGCAGGGTCCGGGGAGAGCGGATATAGTGAATGCAGGGTCCGGGGAGAGCGGATATAGTAAATGCAGGGTCGGGGGAGAGCGGATATAGTGAATGCAGGGTCCGGGGAGAGCGGATATAGTGAATGCAGGGTCCGGAGTTTAGTAACACTTTAATGCTGATCTACAGCTTTAGTTTCAGTGTAAATAGTTCTTTCAAACCAAGCTGGCCCAAACACGATTTCCCTCACTAACGTGCAGTTGCTGGATATGCTGTATAAACTGGATGGAGCTGAGACTTTATACAGTATAGAGCAGTGTGTTCTGGAACAAAATAGAAGTCAGAGAGGCGGGCTGATGATGTCAAACTTTCTGACATGTCCACATCGAGACCTGATAAAAAATGCACCTACAATTACAGACAAAAAAAAAAATATGTGAGTTTATTATATTTTTACACTGGAGCCTGCCGAGCATTGCAGCCGTAGTCGGTGTATTGCAGGTGCAGCGCACAGACTCCTTCACATTATTCCCTTCACCCCGCTCTGTACGGACCTTCTGTTATGGGACTGAAGGAGGAAGTAGTCAGTGGACTATGAGTGTGGTGCCTTTGTGCTCCATTGAGTCCCTCTGCTGAGATTTCTGTGAATGAATGATGACGATGAGCCCTAAATTAAAAAAAAAGAAACACAGAATGTTGCAAGAAGCACCCCATAATTCAGGTAAATGTGTTGGGGGAGCACTTTGAGGGTGGGGGGTTTGAGGAGTGTAATCATGGTTCATAATATAAATATGAAACCTGGTCAGAAAGATGGACTGTGCCTCTAACTGCCTGCCATGACATCACGCTCATTGAAGTAGAATAATAAGGAACTCTCTGCCCTATATCTACAGAGCACACCACCTTTCCTCTGCATCATCTGTGAAGTAATTGTCATTCTTCACATTCTTGTGGGCTGTGATTAGCATTCTTGCCTTGCTGCTCTGGGTCCCGAATTCAGTTCCCATAAGGGACACTTATCTGCATTGAGCTCGTACTCTGCATTCGCATTGGTTTCCTCCCACAACCCAAAAATATCTTAATATGCTAACCAGCATCTGACCGCACTGGCCTCAGTCTGTGTATATGTGAGCTGCTGTGATTGTGATACACTCCATAGACTGTAGTCTTCCTGATGGCACTGACTCTTCTCAATGGTTCTTCCTGATGGCACTGACTCTTCTCAATGGCTCTTCATGATGGCACTGACTCTTCTCAATGGTTCTTACTGATGGCACTCAATGGTTCTTCCTGATGCCGCTGACTCTTCTCAATGGTTCTTCATGATGCTGCTGACTCTTCTCAATGGTTCTTCCTGATGGCGCTGACTCTTCTCAATGGTTCTTCCTGATGACGCTGACTCTTCTCAGTGGTTCTTCCTGATGGCAATGATTCTTCTCAGTGGTTCTTCCCGATGGCACTGACACGTCTCAGTGGTTCTTCCCGATAGAGCTGACTCTTCTCAGTGGTTCTTCCTGATGCCGCTGACTCTTCTCAATGGTTCTTCCTGATGCCGCTGACTCTTCTCAGTGGTTCTTCCTGATGCCGCTGACTCTTCTAAGTGGTTCTTCCTGATGACGCTGACTCTTCTCAGTGGTTCTTCCTGATGCCGCTGACTCTTCTCAGTGGTTCTTCTTGATGGCGCTGACTCTTCTCAGTGGTTCTTCCTGATGACGCTGACTCTTCTCAGTGGTTCTTCCTGATGACGCTGACTCTTCTCAGTGGTTCTTCCTGATGGCGCTGACTCTTCTCAGTGGTTCTTCCTGATGCAGCTGACTCTTCTCAGTGGTTCTTCCTGTGGCGCTGACTCTTCTCAGTGGTTCTTCCTGATGATGCTGACTCTTCTCAGTGGTTCTTCCTGATGGCGCTGACTCTTCTCAGTGGTTCTTCCTGATGACGCTGACTCTTCTCAGTGGTTCTTCCTGATGGCGCTGACTCTTCTCAGTGGTGGCGCTGACTCTTCTTGGTTCTTCCTGATGGCGCTGACTCTTCTCAGTGGTTCTTCCTGATGCCGCTGACTCTTCTCAATGGTTCTTCATGATGCCGCTGACTCTTCTCAGTGGTTCTTCCTGATGACGCTGACTCTTCTCAGTGGTTCTTCCTGATGGATGACTCTTCTCAATGGTTCTTCCTGATGCCGCTGACTCTTCTCAGTGGTTCTTCCTGATGGCGCTGACTCTTCTCAGTGGTTCTTCCTGATGATGCTGACTCTTCTCAGTGGTTCTTCCTGATGGCGCTGACTCTTCTCAATGGTTCTTCCTGATGCCGCTGACTCTTCTCAATGGTTCTTCATGATGCCGCTGACTCTTCTCAGTGGTTCCTTCCTGATGACGCTGACTCTTCTCAGTGGTTCTTCTCCTGCCGCTGACTCTTCTGTTCTTCATGATGCCGCTGACTCTTCTCAGTGGTTCTTCCTGATGACGCTGACTCTTCTCAGTGGTTCTTCCTGATGGCAATGATTCTTCTCAGTGGTTCTTCCCGATGGCACTGACACGTCTCAGTGGTTCTTCCCGATAGAGCTGACTCTTCTCAGTGGTTCTTCCTGATGCCGCTGACTCTTCTCAATGATTCTTCCTGATGGCGCTGACTCTTCTCAATGATTCTTCCTGATTGCACTGACTCTTCTCAATGGTTCATCATACTTCACAAAGCACAGAATGATATCCCGCACTATATAAATACGTGAAATAACTAATAGAGGGTCAGGGATTTTTTTGCTTGCAGCAGGTGGCATTTTTGGTTCCATAGACTTCATTGGCAATGCATGCACCTGCGCTTTTTGTGTGTTTCCTGCATGACAGACACCTCCCCCTAGCCACATTAACAAATCACAAAAACGCAAAATGCACCAGGAAAAAAACGCATCAGTGGCAACCTGCGTTTGGTTGGTGTGAATCTTGCCTTACACCATTTCACCCTAGTTCACACCAATGTGACTTGTCCTGAGAGTTACCAGTTCAAAGTGGAATGACAGGTTGCACCCCATTTGCAGCAATAGAACCATTCAAATATCTCCGACTCAAGTCTTAGGCAAGTGGCTTAACCAGGCCAATTTTTAGCTTTCAGTGCTGTCTCACGTTGAATGACAATTGCTCCGTCATGCAACATTGTACCCAAATGGAAATTATCATTTTTTTCACACACAAATAGAGCTTTTTTTGGTGGTATTTAATCACCACCGGGTGTTTTATTATTTGCACTGTAAAGGAAAAGAACCCAAAAACTTTGGGAAAAAAGTTTTTCTTTGTTTCTATTATAAAATTTTGCAAACATGTATCTTCCTCCTTCACTGATGTGCGTTGATGAGGTGGCACTGATGAGCCGGCACTGGTGGGGCTGTGCTGATGAGGAGGCACTTATGACCGACTTAGCGGGTGCCGCCGGGTAGAGGGGAGCTAGCTGAGTGGGCACACATCCACTATCCTCTACCTTCTGTTGCTGACCCGTAAGCGATGTGTAAAACGTCACTTATGGGTCCCCCTGAGAGAGCAGAATGACAGAGTTGAGCTCACCAATCTGCTGCTTCTCTGTTCACTGGCCAATCACAGGCTGGGGGAGGGTCAAGACCTGTAAATGTTACTTAACCGCAACTGAAAAATCAGGACTCATGCCCTGTCACAAAGGGCTGTGCTGTGTGGCAGAGCTGTATATATCTTGGGCCTGGATAGACAGAAACAGAAATCTATGGCACTGCTATAAAACCAGTATGGTGGACATATGTTGGGAATGACTGCTTCCCTTAAGTCACATAGATGTGACAATTCCTGGTAATAAAATCACCAATATTTATATGTGACATTTGGTTATTTCTGTACCTGTCATCCTCTGTACTTGTTGCTGTCTGTACTGCATTGTGACATTTACTGTCTCTCCAGGAAGAATTGGAGCGTCTGAACCAGGCCAGCGAGGAGATCAACCAGCTGGAGCTGCAGTTGGATGTGAGTGTTGGGTCACTTCTCTGTAATTCTATCCCGGTGCTCCAGCCATAAACACTGACATGTATTATACCGCCCCCTGCAGGATGCCCGCACCGCCTACCGCCGAATCCTCACCGAGTCTGCGAGGCGCCTGAATTCTCTGGCCACTCAGCTCGGGGCTTGTATTGAGAAAGCCAGGCCGTACTATGAAGCCAGAAGATTGGCCAAGGAGGTATTATTTGTTTGCTGTTCGTTGCACAGTCACAGAGAAATATTTCAGGATTGTTGTTTTTCGCAATGAGAGCTTAAAATCACATGGCCAAAAATAACGACTGAGGTGAAAAATAACATCCACAGGGATCCCAAACTACACCAAGTCATTTACTAGACTGTTCCTGAAATATACTCACCAATACAGAGATTTTAGAAATGCTTTAACGGTATGGTTACCCCATCCAGATATTAGAAAACGTCTCCAGTACTTGTACCACATAGACGGCAAAACATGATTTACTGTTTTCAGTGGTTAGATTAAAAACAGAGGGTTTTGTTGCATCAAACTAAAATGTTGAGGCAAGGAAAGCCTGGAAAGTGTGGTCCTTGATGCAATCCTTTGCTTGCTCTTTTGGGGCTCTGTTCCTCCCACTGACACCAATGACGGGGCACTATTCCTCCCACTGACACCAATGACGGGGCACTATTCCTCCCGCTGACACCAATGACGGGGCACTATTCCTCCCGCTGACACCAATGACGGGGCACTATTCCTCCCGCTGACACCAATGACGAGGCACAATTCCTCCCACTGACACCAATGATGAGGTACAATTTCTCCCACTGACACCAAAGATGGGGCACTATTCCTCCCGCTGACAATGATGGAGCCAATGACGGGGCAATATTCCTCCCACTGACACCAATGACGAGGCACAATTCCTCCCACTGACACCAATGATGAGGTACAATTTCTCCCACTGACACCAATGATGAGGCATATTTCCTCCCACTGACACCAATGATGAGGCGCAGTTCCTCCTACTGACACCAACGATGAGGCACAATTCCTCCCATGGACACCAACGATGAGGCACAATTCCTCCCATGGACACCAACGATGAGGCACAATTCCTCCCATGGACACCAACGATGAGGCACAATTCCTTCCATTGACACCAATGATGAGGCATAATTCCTCCCACTGAGGACACCAATGATGAGGCACGATTCCTCCCACTGACACCAATGATGGCACACTGTTTCTCCTGCTGACACCAATAATGGGACACACTTGATCGGGCACACCCTCCTACCACACTGGCACCAATTATGGCACACAATTCCTCTCACTGATACCAATGATGGAGCACTAGTTTTTCTACTGACACAAATGATGGGGCACTAGTCCTCTCACTAATACCACTGATGGAACACTATTCCTCCCACTGACACCAAGGATGGGTCACTCTTCCTTCTATTGACACCAATGATGGGGTGCTATTCCTCCCATTGACACTAAGGATGGGTCCCTCTTCCTCCCATTGACACCAAGGATGGGTCACTCTTCCTTCTATTGACACCAATGATGGGGTGCTATTCCTCCCATTGACACTAAGGATGGGTCCCTCTTCCTCCCATTGACACCAAGGATGGGTCCGTCTTCCTCCCATTGACACCAAGGATGGGTCGCTCACTCTTCCTCCCATTGACACCAAGGATGGGTCGCTCTTCCTCCCATTGACACCAAGGATGGGTCGCTCTTCCTCCCATTGACACCAATTGGATGGGTCGCTCTTCTCTCCCATTGACACCAAGGATGGGTCGCTCTTGACACCAAGGATGGTGTCACTCATCTTCCCCATTGACACCAAGATGGGTCGCTCTTCCTCCCATTGACACCAAGGATGGGTCGCTCTTCCTCCCATTGACATCAAGGATGGGTCGCTCTTCCTCCCATTGACATCAAGGATGGGTCGCTCTTCCTCCCATTGACTCCAATGATGGAGCACTATTCCTCCCACTGAGGTCGGGGGCATTTTCTTGTCCACTGGCCACAGCCCGGTCTCTCTATGGTTTAAAGGATCGTAAACTGTAACCTTTATTTATAAAGTTTGAGGACCCCTTCTCTAAGGTGTATGAGGACCAATACTGGGACATACAGTATATATAAACATCTCTATCTTAGCAATGAATAAACTGAGAGCAGGCATACCCTGGAAACCGTTTTTGTCCTTCCTAAAGGTACATCAACATACATGAAGGCCAGACTTGCTCCAGGCAGCTGAAGACCCCCAGAATGTATGTCTACATTACATCCAACAGACTAAACATGGTCAGCCTCTCAGATCATTTTATAACCAGCACAGAAAAGGCGGATATCCCATACAGACAAGGAGCCCTCATGGGCATAGAGGGAGAGGGCCTCACAAGAGCAGTGTTGTCTCTTCAGTTTGTGGCCCCTGTAGCTCAGAGTAGGCTCAGATAACAAATGGCACATACAATATGAAGACCATTGTTTATGTTTATTCCTGTCTACAAGGCGCACAAGATCCAAATCTGAAGATACATAACCATATAAGGAACTAAAACGGCAAAAACCTGAGATCATATTGAGATAAGGTATATGATGAATATATACATTGTATTGCAGTACATGCTTTTTTTCCCCTCAGGTGTAAAGGTGTAGTTTTACAAATAAAATATGACCAGAGCATTTATATATACAGTGAAGGAAATGGGTATTTGATCCCCTACTGATTTTGAATGTTTGCCCACTCACAAAGAAATGATCAGACTAAAAATCGAATGTTCGGTGTATTGTAACACTGAGAGACAGAATAGCAACAAAAAATTCAACAGAAATGCATGTCTAACAAATGATGCACTGATTTGCATGTTCATGAGGAAATAAGTATTTGATCCCCTTCACAAAACATGACTTAGTACTTGGTGGCAAATCCCTTGTTGGCAATCACAGAGGTCTGATGTTTCCTGTAGTTGGCCCCCAGGTTTGCACACATCTCAGGAGGGATTTTGGCCCACTCCTCTTGGCAGATCCTCTCCAAGTCATTAAGGTTTGGTGGCTGATGTTTGGCAACTCCAATCTTTCAGCTCCCTCCACAGATTTTCAATCGGATTAAGGTCTGGAGACTGGCTAGGCCACTCCAGGACCTTAATGTGCTTCTTCTTGAGCCACTCCTTTGTTGCCTTGGCCATGTGTGTTTTGGGTCATTGTCATGCTGGAACACCCATCCACGACCCATTTTCAATGCTCTGGCTGAGGAAGAAGGTGCTCACCCAAGATTTGATGGTACATTACCCGTCCATCGTACCTTTGATGCGGTGCAGTTGTCCTTTCCCCTTAGCAGAAAAACACCCCCAAAGCAGAATGTTTCCACCATATTTGACAGTTGGGATGGTGTTCTTGGGGTCACAGGCAACATTCCTCCTCCTCCAAACACAGCGAGTTGAGTTGATGCCAAAGAGCTCGATTTTGGTCTCATCTGACCACAACACTTTCAACCAGTCCTCCTCTGCATCATTCAGATGTTCAGTGGTAAACTTCAGATGGGCCTGGACATGTGCTTTCTGGAGCAGAGGGACCTTGCGGGCACTGCAGGATTTCAGTCCTTGTCGGTGTAGTGCGTTACCAATTGTTTTCTTGGTGACTGTGGTCCCAGCTGCCTGGAGATCATTGACAAGATCCTCACGTGTAGTTCTGGGATGATTCCTCACTGTTCTCATGATCATTGACACTTCCACGAGGTGAGATCTTGCATGGTGCACCTGACCTAGGGAGACTGACAGTTGTTTTGTGTTTTCTTCCATTTGCGAATGATTGCACCAACTGTTGTCACCTTCTCACGAAGCTGCTTGGTGATAGTTAGGTAGCCTAGTCCAGCCTTGTGTAGGTCTACAATCTTGTCCCTGACATCCTTGGACAGCTCTTTGGTCTTTGCTGTGGTGGAGAGTTTAGAATCTGATTGTTTGATTTTTCCTGTGGACAGGTGTAATAAATAATAAAATGAGATAAGCAGCACTCCCTTTAGGAGACTGATTCTAATCTCAGCTTTTTACCTGTATGAAAGACACCTGGTAGCCAGAAATCCTGCTGAATGATAGGGGATCAAATACTTATTTCCCTCATGAAACATGCAAATCAGTGCATCATTTGTTAGACATGCATTTCTTTTGAATTTTTTTGTTGCTATCCTGTCTCTCAGTGTTACAATACACCGAACATTCTTAGATTCTTTTAGACTGATCATTTCTTTGTGAGTGGGCAAACATTCAAAATCAGCAGGGGATCAAATACTTATTTTCTTCACTATATATATATAAATATATATATATATATATTTTTTTTTTTAATTTTGATTTATTTTATTCCTATTAGGCTCAGCAGGACACTCACAGCGCTGCCCTGCGGTACGAGAGGGCGGTCAGCATGCATGCCGCTGCCCGGGAAATGGTGTTTGTGGCTGAGCAGGGTGTCACTGCTGACAAGAACAGACTGGACCCAACGTGGCAAGAAATGCTGAACCATGCTACCTGCAAAGTAAGTGCCAGTTCACATGTATGAGGATTGAACGTTTGAACCGCATCCAATCTGCATGACATGTGAAGTAACATGGCTTACTATGGTGCCTGTTCATATATGTCCAGTGCGCTGGCGGAGCAGTGCGGTTTAAAAAAAAAAAAGTCCTGTCCGATTTCTGAGCATTGCGGTTCGGTTCAGGTGCGGATAACAGGTTATTGACTTCTATCGGAACCATTTCTAAATCGTACATGTGTTAACAGGATAAAATTCTGAGCTGATCCTGTCCTGAACCTGATGTAAACCTGACTGCTGAACAACTACTGTGTCAATTAGGTGTGAAACCTGAGCTTCAATCCGCACACTTGTGTGTTAACTTTCTGAGTCCCGGGTTCCGTGTTGGAATCAGGGTGGGGTAGCAGTTATTTGTCACAGGGCTGTTTTAAGGCCCCATGAACGCTAGCATTTTTCAAAGGCTAAAAAACACTCGAAAAAACACTGGATGAAAAACGCTGATAATGGCATTTTTGTGCTGGCTTATAATAGCATTTTAGGAGCGTTTAGATGGGTTTTTTTTTTTTTAGCATTTTTAGTTAATGAATAAACAAAAAAAAAAAAAAAAGTTAGGAGTGTTCAGCACTTTTCTCTGCCGGGAAAACACGCTCAAAAACTCTGAAGCTTGAAACCGTTGAAGCTTGAAAGACTCTTCTAACATAAAATAGTGTGCATGTACACATAGGATAATCCTATTATCGTTTTAGCGGCTGCTGGTAAGTCCTCAGACAGAGCTTCCAGAAATTCGATTTTTGGCTCTAACGGTGAGGCAGGGGGAGAACATGCAAAGTGAGAGTCGGCTGGTGGGGGGTCTGTCAAGTGAACTTATCACTTTGTCCTTAACCCCCCTGGAGGTATTCCCGAGTGTAGCTCGGGGTAAAGTTTCAGTACCAGAAGCGGTAACCCCGAGCTACACTCGGGAATACACTGCAGCGTTGCTCCGGGATCCTCATGCACTTACCTTTTCCTGCGCTCCCTCCAGAGAGAGCCGCTGCTCTCGGGCACAGCACTGGATTGCGAAAAGGCTCAGGTAAATATTGGGGAGCTGAGGGGGCGAGCAGCACGCAGTAGCAAAAACCTTCAGCCTTTGGAACTACTTTAACCTCCCTAATGGTCTGATTATGTCCGTATTTCTGTGCTCAAAGTGGTACATTTTTTTTCATGGAAATATGTTGTTTTTTTTATTGCAGGCCTGTAAGTCTTAGGAATAACTCACTGAAATCTGTCCAAACAAGAGTCTAGTAAACATCCCGGGTATGATAAAACTTGAAACACGAAATCATAAATTATTATATAATAAATAATCATAAAAAATAATAATATAATAATAAATTTAATTTAATAATATAATAAAACCAAAAACACTGAAATGTGAAATATAGCGCCAAGTTCGCACATCGCTGAGCAAAGTCGCAGAATCGTTTTCAGTGTCTGATGAGGAATTTCCCCCACGAATCATTATCACTCAATTCTGCAAGTGGTTCTGATTTACTATCGCTGTTCTCTAGCCAGTCTAAAACTGCTTTTGACTCTTTTTGGACGCCATGGACATTTCTCACTTTCCAGGCAGAAAGAACAGTAAAAATGCAGGCAGGGCGCCGGACAAAGCACTCGGGACAAAATGTATGTGAAATGGTTTGATACAGGAATGTTATACTATGTGATTTTAGTGTATTTAGTGAATGTCACTTTTAACATTTTTGAATTTCCCGCCGGTTCTGTTCCCCGTACGTCTCGACGCGCGCAGGGAACAGAATCTGGAAGATGGATGCCGGCATCGGCCAGGAGTTGGCCGTGGAGGCTGCAGGGGGGACATCGCAGGAGCGCAGGACAGGGTAAGTGCAGGAGGGATCCCGGAGCAACGCTGCAGGTATTCCCGAGTGTAGCTTGGGGTTACTGCTTCTGGTACTGAAACTTTTACCCCGAGCTACACTCGGGAATACCGCCAGGGGGATTAAGTCATATGGTGATTTTTTTTTTTTTTTTTTTTTTTAGATGGAACAGTTCTGCCATTAGAAATGGTTGTTATAATTTTTTTTTTTAAATTCATTTCTGGTTCCTCAATCCCTGTTACAGGTGAACGAGGCGGAGGAGGAGCGGCTACGCAGCGAGTTTGAACACCAGCGGGTGACCCGGCAATGCCATGAAGCCGAAGCCAGAGTGCAGACCTTGCAGAAGAGCTTAAAACGGGTCATCATCAAGAGTCGCTCATACTTCGAACTGAAGGCGCAGTTCAATACAGTGTTAGAGGTGACAACACTCTGCTGTATGATAAAGATCAGCTAGTCTGGTCTCAGTGTGATAAATCTGTATAGTAATCAATGTTCTCTTTTTACATGAACATGATGTCCTAAATGTCCGCTGTGTAGGTGATCACTCCTTGTTGTTCCATGTACAATGTCATCATCACTGAAACTCCAGCACCCAAAAGGGGCTCTTGAAATGGCTCCAAAAACAATATTTTCAAAATAGATAGTGCCGCGCTCCCATGTACCAATATGTATATCTTATACTTTCAAAGTGCTAATGAATAGCTTTCAAGATACTGCATGTATCAAACAATTATTACTAGTGACTCAAAACATCATTGTGAATATTAATCTTCATGCAAGTGACATTAATAACTGATAATCCTAAGGTGATAGTGCCTATTAAAGTACAGTGATATACAAATCAGAAATACTCCTCTATTCTACTGTGATCCTTATATTTATATTGTGCAAACACATATATATTATGTGCACGTGCTTATGATATATTCAATAAAAAAAAAAAATAAAAAAAAAAAAAAAAAAAAAAAAAAGTCTTTCAAAATAAATGTGCAGGTGGATTCTTTGTTCCCTCTCGCCGAGTGCTTAATGGTCTCCCTATGTGCTCACCTCTATATTTGCCTGAATAAATCCAGGCAAATACACTTTTTATCCTTCCAGGATAGATGGGATGGAATGATGCTCTTGAATTATCTCAGAAGGTGGATGTGGATTTATATTTGTTCTCCTGTAGCTGCTCATGAGTGGGGTATACTGACCATCTCTCTGAGGATCTCCCAATTCCCCTCCTGGGGCTGTTTCCTTTTCCAGTCCTCCTTATATCAGCTCAAAGGGTGTTGTTCAATTGAGAAAGGAAGACAAACAGACCATAGTGTCTTATCCTTGTGCAAAAAGGGGGTTTATTGCTGCCAGTTGCACAGTAGTATACAATTGTAGTCCAGCATAAATGTGCTCTGCCTCTGTTCCTGCAGTGCTGTCTACCTGTGTCTGTATTCAGATCACCGAGCCTCTCCAGTGCAATGTCGTGACGTCAGAGCCCCTCCCCTACGCGTATCGTCACAGGGTCACGTGACTTCATCAGGGGGAATGATTAGATCTAATCATCTAGACACTATGGTCTGTTTGTCTTCCTTTCTCAATTGAACAACACCCTTTGAGCTGATATAAGGAGGACTGGAAAAGGAAACAGCCCCAGGAGGGGAATTGGGAGATCCTCAGAGAGATGGTCAGTATACCCACTCATGAGCAGCTACAGGAGAACAAATATAAAATCCACATCCACCTTCTGAGATAATTCAAGAGCATCATTCCATCCCATCTATCCTGGAAGGATAAAAAGTGTATTTGCCTGGATTTATTCAGGCAAATATAGAGGTGAGCACATAGGGAGACCATTAAGCACTCGGCGAGAGGGAACAAAGAATCCACCTGCACATTTATTTTGAAAGACTTTTTTTTTTTTTTTTTTTTTTTTTTTTTTTTTTTATTGAATATATCATAAGCACGTGCACATAATATATATGTGTTTGCACAATATAAATATAAGGATCACAGTAGAATAGAGGAGTATTTCTGATTTGTATATCACTGTACTTTAATAGGCACTATCACCTTAGGATTATCAGTTATTAATGTCACTTGCATGAAGATTAATATTCACAATGATGTTTTGAGTCACTAGTAATAATTGTTTGATACATGCAGTATCTTGAAAGCTATTCATTAGCACTTTGAAAGTATAAGATATACATATTGGTACATGGGAGCGCGGCACTATCTATTTTGAAAATATTATATATACACTAGCATATGAGTCAGTGCAAGTGCCAGCGAACCTCACGTGAGAAATAAGGACATCTAAAGTCACATATTGAACACCTCATTTCATAATAGCTCACAAGCATTCACCATTTATATTGGCTCCAAAAACAATGTCTTGTTATCCTATGACAAAATGATGTGCCCAGTCTGTGCATTTCAAAGATTAAAGCCATGTCGGTTTATTTCAGATCACTTCAAATAGCGTAAAATAAATCCCAGGGGCCCAATGAAGAGGCTAGAGGTTTGTATTTGAACATAAATAGCCCTTTAAATCTGCTGATCGATTCAGTGATTTATTTGGTCACATCAGGATATAACTAGTTATATATATCCGTCCTTAAGTAAACTAGCGGAGTCTCACCCACCACCTCCTCCCCCCATACTTTGACATATTTGGCACTTTTTTGAGGGGGTGGGAGGGGGGTGTTCCTGGTTTTGACAGGTACCCACTTTCACTTCCACTCAGATTGCCCCCTCCCTGCCTGTATCCTTCTGGAACACAGAATCACAGATCCCACAAGGTGGCGGGATCATTCACAAAGTGCAGTGCAGCTTGCGCATGCGTAGTGGGTAGCTGGGCTGTGGAGCTGCAAGCAGTCACAGCTAGCTGCCCACAGTTAAGATGCCGTTGCCGGGGACCGAAGACCTGTGAAGAAACTGGCCCGAGGTAAGATAGAACTGGACTTTTGTAGCTGCTGTCTTAATTTTTCTACAAGTGACTTAAGAACCGTTTTAAAGCAAGCCTTCACTGGCCCCTCTGTAACAAGAGGCACCCTAGAGCAATTCATCCACAAAGTTCACAGAATAATAAGTGACACAGCTTAGCTCCCCCTCTCATTATTGAGCCATTGCTGAACCCCTTTCCAGCAAATACTCAGCTCACCCTGCTCTCACCTCCCAGTAGTAACTCAGCAGCTAACCGTCCCTTACTCCCCCTTCCTGGCAGTGACTTGTTCACAATACCCTTCCCTCGCAGCAGTGACTCGATTCACCCAGTTCCTTCTCCCGGCAGTGACTGATCAGTTCAGTTCTCCTCTCACACCTGTAACTAAGCTCAACCCGTTCCCCCCTTCCCAATAGTGACGTCTCAGCTTCCCATTCCCTTCAACCAGCAGTGATGCAGCAGCTCAGCTCACCCTGCTCCCCTCTCCCAGAAGTTCCTCAGAAGCTCAGTTCAGGCTTCTGCCTCCCTACTATCCGGGGAGAGCAGATATAGTGAATGCAGGGTCCGGGGAGAGCGGATATAGTGAATGCAGGGTCCGGGGAGAGCGGATATAGTGAATGCAGGGTCCGGGGAGAGCGGATATAGTGAATGCAGGGTCCAGGGAGAGCGGATATAGTGAATGCAGGGTCCAGGGAGACCAGATATAGTGAATGCAGGGTCTGGGGAGAGCGGATATAGTGAATGCAGGGTCCGGGCAGACCGGATATAGTGAATGCAGGGTCCAGGGAGAGCGGATATAGTGAATGCAGGGTCCGAGCAGACCGGATATAGTGAATGCAGGGTCCAGGGAGACCAGATATAGTGAATGCGGGGTCCGGGGAGAGCGGATATAGTGAATGCAGGGTCCGGGGGAGACCTGATATAGTGAATGCGGGGTCCGGGGAGAGCGGATATAGTATAGTGGGTCCGGGGAATGCGGGGTCCGGGGTCCGGGGAGAGCGGATATAGTGAATGCAGGGTCCGGGGAGACCAGATATAGTGAATACAGGGTCCAGGGAGACCAGATATAGTGCATGCAGGGTCCGGGGGGAGAGCGGATATAGTGAATGCAGGGTCTGGGCAGGCCGGATATAGTGAATGCAGGGTCCGGGCAGACCAGATATAGTGAATGCAGGGTCCGGGGGTTTAGTAACACTTTAATGCATTCTATGCAGTTTGGTAAAAAAAAAACTCCCCCCATGTCCTCCCTTATATTTACCTGAGCCCGATCTCAATCCAGCACTGTGCACAAGAGCAGAGGTGCTCTCCACTCTCTCCATCCTCACTGGCTCAGAGACAGCAGAGGGGACCATCACAGCCAATAAGGAGGGAATAGGGGTGGGGCCATCATAGCCAAGGAGGGAATAGGGGCGGGACTATCACAGCCAGTAAGGAGGGAATAGGGCAGGACCATCACAGCCAGTAAGGTGGGAATAGGGGCGGGGGCCATCACGGCTAGTAAGGAGGGATTAAGGGCGGGACCATCACAGCCAGTAAGGTGGGAATAGGGGCGGGGGCCATCACAGCTAGTAAGGAGGGATTAGGGGCGGGACCATCACAGCCAGTAAGGAGGGAATTGGGGCGGGACCATCACAGCCAGTAAGGAGGGAATAGGGGCGGGATCATCACAGTAAGGAGGGAATAGGGGCGGGACCATCACAGCCAGTAAGGAGGTAATAGGGGTGGGACCATCACAGCCAGTAAGGAGGGAATAGGGGCAGGGACCATCACAGCCAGTAAGGAGGGAATAGGGGCGGGACCATCAGCCAGTAAGGAGGAAATAGGGGCGGGGCCATCACAGCCAGTAAGGAGGGAATAGGGGCAGGGCCAAACTGCACTCTGTGTGTCGATGGACACACAGAGCGCGACTCAGGAGTGAGCCTGCCAATACCAAGCGGCTTGCATTGGGAGGATTGGACCCGAGAAGAGGAGGATCTAGGCTGCTCTGTGCACAACCATTACACAGAGCAGGTAAGTATAACATGCTTGTTATTATTTTTTTTGTTTTTTTAATGGACCCTTTACAATCATTTTAAACATATGAGCAAATCAGGAAAATCAATCAAAAGAGCTTATTGTTGCTAGAGGGTAAGCCTTACAGCCAGGAAACTAGCATTTGTTGATGAAGAGGTCAGCAATGGCAGGCTCTCGGTGTTCCTTGGTTACAGCAGATTTTCTACACCGATGTCGCTGATTACATATCTTTCATTCTTCTTTCACAGGAACACAAGGCCCGGGTCACATCTCTGGAGGTCTCGGTGTCACAGGCCAAACTGCGATACTCAGCGGCACTCCGCAATTTGGAGCAGATCAGTGAGGAAATACACGCCCGTCGCACTAAAGGCCCCCTGCTAACACTCCGGGCCCCACCACTTGGGGCCGAAGCCCCCGCCCCACTAACAGACGCCGAGATGGGCCCGCCCGCCGATACGGTTTCCCTCCTCAGCCTGCAGACCATCGCTTCTGACTTGCAGAAAAGCGACTCGGTGGAACACTTGCGAGGTCTGAGTGACGTCACCAGTCTGGACGGGAGAGACATGGAGGCTGAGGAAGAAGAGAGCAGTGCAGGCCGGGAGAGACTCAACGAGAGAGGAAGCAGAGCGACCTTCGGCCATCACCGGAGTGTCAGCCTCTAAGGTCAAGACTGGAGCCAGATATACAATAAATGAACTTCATTATATCTAACAGAGCACGCGTCACGTGGGCGGAGCCAAACAGGCGCCCCTGACATCAAACATGGGAAAAGCACCAAACAAGAGGGTGTTCGCTGCACTACAGAGTCGCCGCTTTATGGGCATTTAAACACTTACAGGAATGAAGCAAGGGAAACCAAAACTGACAAACGTCCAATGAATCACGCTGACATTTTCTAACAGCTTCTAGATCCGGTAGGGGAGCATTTGTAGTGTAAGATGACGGTTCTGCAACTATTTGTACTATGATGGTAGAGAAGGTAAGACGTTGGTGATCCGGGAGGAGGAAAAGTCAAGGGAAGAAGCCGCTCGCTGCTATGAGAACGCTGTCTGTTTGATGCAGCACTGGGCATGTCTGTATTTCAATAAATATACATTGATGTGTGCCTGTCTAGACACATTGTTTACAGTAGACTCCTTGCCTCCCACTCAGCCCTAGTGTCCCTTTAACAAAGTCTGTATGTCCAGGGGGGGGGGGTTTAGGGGGGGGGGGCCTGATGTTAGTGGGGACCGAGAGCTGTCTGTAACAACTCAGTCTCTGTACCCAAATTTTACGCATTCACAGATCTGGGAACAGTGTATTTTGCACCCATGTGCATGAACTTAACTTGGCCAGGGGTGTATATACCACAAGGCAAACAAGGCATTTGCCTAGGGCAGCATTTTTCAGGGGGGGGGGGGGTTTAGGGGGGGCTCTGATCGTTAGTGGGGGACCGAGAGCTGACTTTAACACTCAGTCTCTGTACCCAAATTTTACGCATTCACAGATCTGAGAGTAGTGTATTTTGCACCCATGTGCATGAAGTTAACTTGACCAGGGGTGTATATACCACAAGGCAAACAAGGCATTTGCCTAGGGCAGCATTTTTCAGGGGGGGTTTAGGGGGGGGCTCTGATAGTTAGTGGGGACCGAGAGCTGTCTGTAACAACTCAGTCTCTGTACCCAAATTTTACACATTCACAGATCTGAGAGCAGTGTATTTTGCACCCATGTGCATGAACTTAACTTGACCAGAGGTGTATATACCACAAGGCATTTGCCTAGGGCAGCATTTTTCAGGGGGGGGGGGGGTTTAGGGGGGGGCTCTGATCATTAGTGGGGAACCGAGAGCTGCCTTTAACAACTCAGTCTCTGTACCCAAACTTTACGCATTCACAGATCTGAGCGCTCATTGTATTTTGCACCCATGTGCATGAACTTAACTTGACCAGGGGTGTATATACCACAAGGCAAACAAGGCATTTGCCTAGGGCAGCATTTTTCAGGGGGGGGGCAGCACTGCCCCTCAGAAAAAGGGACACATGCGGCATGAGGACCTGGTGAGAGGCTGCAAGTTTCATGACGGTGTGTGCACAGCCCGGCTCTTGTTCCCTGGGATGTCCGGAGCTGTGGAGGTGAGTGTCGTTCTCTCGATGCTCTCTCGGGTGGGAGGCAGGGGTGCTGTTGGTCAATGTCAGCCTCTCTCTAGGGAAGGGGGGGGGGAGGGCAATTTTTGCGTTGCCTAGGGCAGCACAAAACCTAAATATACCCCTTACCGACGTTTTACGCAAATATGCGGCCTTACAGAACTGGGCTTTTTTTCTGTGGGGCCACATATTTGCATACCTGTCCTTTCTGATGGGAGCGCACCGCACAGCGCGCTCCCAGCACAAAGACCGCAGTGTCACTGAGAGCCCCGGGTCCCGTTCCAACGATCCGGGACTCCTGATTCCAGGTCACATGATCACTGTTGATAGCCTCTGATTGGCTATCACAGTGATCAGTCACTGTACAGCCCGGCTCCCTTGTGTTTTTTTTTTTTCTCTCTATGAATGGAGGAGAGAGATACATTGTATCTCTCTAGCTCCTGGCATAGAGGGGAAAAAATGTTTGTAAAAAAAAAAAAACAAGATAAATATTAAAAAATAAAATTAATTAATACTTAGATCAAGGTTTGATCTAGTTCAGTGCCAGGGTTAGTGTTTGGGTCAGAGGTCAAGGGCAAAATGTCAGGATTAAGAAAAAGAAAATTGGTGTCTGCGTTTTAGGTAAAAAAAAAAAAACAAAACAGTACAAACAACAAATAACATACACATATATGGTATCACTGCAGTGTCAAGAGCTGGAAAATTTATTTTGGGTTGTTCTTTGGTGGTAGGTTATGGTAGGAGCAAAAAAATTTTTTTTTTTTCCTATTTTGGGCCAGTTTTCCTTTGATAAAAAAAAAAAATTGCAGATATCCATTACCAGCCCAATTTGTCCTGAAAAAAAACACGGTATAATCCACCTGGATGTACAAAGTAGTTGTGATGATATGTGCGGTTTTACTAACACATGTCAACGTTGCAAAATTGTGCTTAGGCATTTAGATTTGTTTTACCCTTAGGCATGAAGGGGTTAAGTAAACGCAGTTTCACTTTATACCATAGCCTTCTGCAACTGTGACTTACACTCATTGGCCACTTTATTAGGTACACCTTATTTGTGCCAAGAAAATCTCCCCCACACCATTATACCACCACCAGCCTGAACCGTAGATACAAGGCAGGATGGATCCATGCTTTCATGTTGTTTACGCCAAATTCTGACCCCACCATCTGAGTGTCGCAGCAACCAGTCTGCCCATTCTCTGACCTCACCAAGGCATTTTCATCCACATAACTGCCACTCACTGGATATTTTCTCTTTTTCGGACCATTCTCTCTAAACCCTGGAGATGGTTGTGTGTGACAATCCCAGTAGATCAGCAGTTTTTTTTTGAAATACTCAGACCAGCCCATCTGGTACCAACAACCATGCCACGTTCAAAGTCACTTAAATCCTCTTTCTTCCCCATTCTGATGCTCGGTTTGAACTACAGCAAGTCGTCTTTACTACCTCTACGTGCCTAAATTCATTGATCTGCTGCCATGTGATTGGCTGATTAGCAATTTGTGTTACCAAGCGAGTGAACAGGTGTACCTAATACAGTGGCCGGTGAGTGTATAAGAAGGTGGTAAACGTTTTCAGACTCTAAATCATGTGACTCCAGTCACATGATCAGAACCCTAGGCTGCATTTGATGGGCATCTAGGCACAGTGCAAATCTTGGCGGCAGGAATCAGCTGAGTTTGAGATCTGTGGGCGGATAGCTGTGGCCTCTGAGCCTGTACACTGCAATGGCAGGCTGTCGGCTATATGCAGTACTAAAAATGGTGCACAATCCTCTTAAACGTGTAAATGAATATGACCAGGGGCGGAATGACCATTCAGGTGATCGGGCACTGCCCGAGGGCCCAGGGGCAGTAGGGGGCCCCATGAGATGCCCCTGGTACCTTTCTTAGGCTTTTTTTGGGTGTGGTTTGAGTGTGGGCAAGGACACAGGGGCCCCGTGATCCCCTATTGCCCGGGGGCCCCATGAGTTGTCAGTCCGCCCCTGAATATGACTGAACACAATGTCACTCCTTAACCATATCTGGTGTATAAAACTGAGAATAAACAGTCTAGACCAATATCCAAAAATGGAGAAGAAAATTATAACAGAGAAAAAAAAACATATGCAGTCCACACCCAGTGTCCAAAATCAGGCTAAAAGCAGTATTTAATCCAGTATGCAGAACTTGTGGATATATGGTGCATGCAGTGCTCCAGGAAAACCGTACACTGAAAATGCCAACACCTTACCGGAAAACCAGGATCTGTATATATTATTATTATTATTATACAGGATTTATGGCGCCAACAGTTTGCTCAGCGCTTTACAATATAAAGGGAGACAATACAGTTCAATACAAGAGGGATAGGAGGGCCCTGATCCTGGGAGCTTACAATCTAAGAATGAGCCCTCATGCACACGGGGTGTTTTGATAACGCAACGTTAGCTGTGTAAATTCGCATTAAAAACGTGAGTTTTTCAGCTTTTTTTTGTGTTTTTGCATTAGCTTTTTGCTGCGTTTTTCCGTGTTTGCATTTTAGTGTTTTTTTAGGTTTTTTTTTTTACCAAAAATAATTTTTTTTTGTCAACAAAAAGTCCAAAAACGCCGGTTTGCGGTCTTTTGCCATGCTTTTCAGTGTTAGGAGTGTTTTTACAGCTAAAAAACCTAGAAACCCATTAGTCCTGGGGGTTTTTTCCAGCCAAAAAAACATTAATTCCAGTCTGTGTGTATGGACACGTAGGATAACATGATAACATGCCGGATGGACACATAGGGGGATGGACACATAGGATAACATGCCTGGGATGGACACATAGGATAACATGCCTGGGATGGACACATAGGATAACATGCCTGGGATGGACACATAGGATAACATGCCGGGGATGGACACATAGGATAACACGCCGGGGATGGACACATAGGAGAACACGGTAGGGATGGACACATAGGATAACACGCTGGGGATGGACGCGTAGGGTAACACGCCGGGGATGGACGCGTAGGATAACACGCCGGGGATGGACGCGTAGGAGAACACGGCGGGGATGGACGCGTAGGAGAACACGCCGGGGATGGACGCGTAGGATAACACGCCGGGGATGGACGCGTAGGATAACACGCCGGGGATGGACGCGTAGGATAACACGCCGGGGATGGACGCGTAGGAGAACATGCCGGGGATAGACACACAGGATAACATGCCGGGGATGGACACGTAGGATAACATGCCGGGGATGGACGCATAGGAGAACATGCCGGGGATGGACACACAGGAGAACATGCCGGGGATGGACACACAGGATAACATGCCGGGGATGGACACGTAGGATAACATGCCGGGGATGGACGCGTAGGATAACATGCCGGGGATGGACGCGTAGGATAACATGCCGGGGATGGACGCGTAGGAGAACATGCCGGGGATGGACACATAGGAGAACATGCCGGGGATGGACACACAGGATAACATGCCGGGGATGGACACGTAGGATAACATGCCGGGGATGGACGCGTAGGATAACATGCCGGGGATGGACGCATAGGAG